AAAAAAACAAATAAAACCCAACCAAAGAAGCACTAACAGACAAGGCAAAGCAATTCAGAATTTCAACTTTCAAGCGGTGATAGGAATCAAGCGGTAGTGGTGGGGCTACAACAGAAAAGTATGACTTTTTSTTTATTCTCTCTCTTTTCCTATCCATGTTCACGTTTCTGTTATTTTTTTTTAATGTTTTATAACTTGATTTGGTTGCCAGTTTAAACTTCCAAAATTCGAATTTCAACTTTCAGATTTGTTTTTTTCTTCTTTTTTTTCTTTCGTTTAACTATCATTTTTATTTCTACTTTTTAAGTTTTCGTTTATTTATCAATCCTATTTTATTGCTATTTTAACTTTGTTTATTTAAGTTCTGTTTTTTTTTCTCTCCTTTTATCTATGTTTTCATTTTTGTTTTATTTTCTTTGATCTTTTCTTTCGTTTATTTGTTACTTGTTACTTACTAGCGTTTTGAATTCTTTTTCAATTTTTTTATTTTGTTTATTTCTTTTTCTTTTCGGTTTTTTTATTCTATTTTTTTTTCCTTTTCTATTTTCCTAATACTTTCATCGTTCTTGTTATTTAGATGGTTGGAAATATTAAAAAAACAAATAAAGGGGCTAGAAAAGATCCAGCATGGAAGTATGGTATTGAGGTGCAAGAAGGTGCAAGAAGGTGCAATAGGAAAATGCTATGTTTATATGAAATGCAATTTTTGTAACAAAGTTATTAAAGGAGGTGTTAAAAGAATGAAAGATCATCKTGGAGGAACACATAAAAATGTTGCACCATGTAATAAAGTTCCTRACGAGGTTAAAGAAGAGATTCAAGATTATCTCAAAAAAGGAGAAACGACTAAGATGACTAGTCAGAAGGAATTTGAAGAAATGGTTGAAGGAGGTGCATATTATCATGGTGCAACTTCAAGTAGTTGTGATATTTCTTCGAGAGGAATTYGAGGACCAATGGATCGATTCATGGTGACTGATGTTGGTGATGTTGATGCCGATGGTGGAAATAAGGTTCAAAATCAAGTCACTCCTACAAATGCGAAGGAGGCTCGTAATTCTGTGTGTATGGACATTGGGAGGTTTTTTTTTTAAAATGGTATTTCATTTAACGTGGCAAGAAGTCCTTCTTTTGTAAATATGTGTCGATCCATTGGTTTTTTTTGGTCGAGGTTTGAAACCACCAAGTATGCATGAACTGAGTTCATGGATTTTGAAAGAGGAGATGAAGACTACACGTAATATTTTGAATGACATACGCAAGACATGGGTAAACACTGGAGTGTCGATCTTATCTGATGGTTGGAAGGATATGAGAGGAAGAAGTTTGATTAACTTTCTTGTAAACTCACCAAGTGGAACGGTATTTTTGAAATCTATTGACACTTCAGATGCTATAAAGGATGCAAATATGATATTTCAGCTTCTGGATGACGTAGTAGATGAAATTGGAGAGAATCTTGTAGTTCAAGTTGTGACAGACAATGCATCAAACTACAAGTCGGCAGGAAAAAAGTTGATGGAAAAACGAAAGCATTTATATTGGACTCCATGTGCTGCCCATTGTCTCGATTTGATGCTTGAGAAGCTTGGTGAACTGCCTCAACATAAGAATGCCTTGATAAAAGCAAAAAAAGTAAGCAACTTTATCTATAATCATGGATGGGTGTTAGCATTGATGAGGTCTTTTACGAAGAGAGAGCTTGTTCGTCCAGCCACCACCAGATTTGCTACTGCTTATTTGACATTGCAAAGCATTTGCCAATCTAAACAACCATTACAAGCAATGTTTACTTCTAAGCAACGGCAGGATAGTGTTTGGGCAAAAAAGCCAGAAGGGAAGGAAGTTAAGAGAATAATTTTAAGTGACAAACATTTTTGGCCGGCTGTGGTATATGCAATTAAGACAAYTAAACCTTTAGTKGGGGTTTTGAGAATGGTTGATTCTGAAAAGGTGCCTGCAATGGGATTTATATAYGGTGCCATGGATTCAGCAAAGGAGGAGATTGCCAAAAATCWTGGAGGGGAGGAAGCAAGCTACAAAGAGATATGGAACATTATTGATGAAAAGTGGGAATTTCAACTTCACCGACATTTACATGCCGCAGMATATTTCTTGAATCCACATTTCCAATATGATAATAATTTTTCCACTCATCCAGAGATCAAGTTGGGTTTATATACATGTATSGACAAAATGATTGTCGATGAAGTTGAAAGAGTAAAAGCTGATCTTCAGRTTGATTCATTTCGAAGGAGGGAAGGATTTTTTGGCTTCCAACAGGCAATAGCATCTTGCAAAAAGCGATCTCSAGGTAAGCATTGTGAAGATGAAATATAACCTATTATTTCTTTTAGTTTTGGTTTCCTAACTTGATATGATATTCGACAATGTAGTTGATTGGTGGACTCAATTTGGCGATGGCACACCAGAACTAGCTAAATTTGCCATCAAAGTTTTGAGTSTTACTTGTTCAGCATCTGGTTGCGAKCGTAATTGGAGTACATTTAATCAGGTTTATAGAAAATTTTCCTTTTTAACTTGCAACCAATTGTTTGAGACTTTGGTGCTAAATTTAGTATAAATTATGTCTCATATTGATAGGTGCATACAAAGAGAAGGAATCGTTTGAGTACAACTAAGTTAAATAACTTAGTTTATATCATGTACAATAAAAGATTAAAGGATAAGCACTTGAAGCGAAAGGCTCTCAAAGAGGAAGAAGATCCATTGGTACTAGATGATTTGGCGTCTGATGATGAGTGGATTGTTGAGAACACTAGGGATGGTGAATTTGGAGTTGATGCCTTTATTGAGCATGATGATGATCCTAACATCAATATTTTTTTAGCTTGGAGAAGGAAATAGTACTCAACAGAGAGACGTYAGTGATAAGACAAAACAACCAAAATCTAGAAGTAAAGGTATGTGACTTATGGGAAATTATTTTAATTTTAAATTTCAATGTTAACTTATAAGTTACATATATTAACTTAGGTTCTRACTTTTAAATTTCCAAAATTTATTTCGTAAACAGATAAAGGGAAGATGCCGATGACATTGGATGAARAGGAATGGGTGGATATTGAAAGTGACAATGAAAATGAGGATGGAGCAATTAGATATGACGATGACTCTATGGAAGATCCTATTAGTGACAGTGATAATGATGTCGTAGACGAGCTTTAGATTTTTATCTCAAGAAAGTTGGATAGACTATCAAGATTTTTCTTTTTGTCATTATTATGTGTGTTTTATGCTTTTATAGGAACATTATAATATTAGGAATACAAAATTTAATGTTTTATCTTTTATAAATTTTATTCTTTTTATCTTTCTATTTAAAATCAGGCTTACGCCTCATACCGCCTCAAGGCTTACGCCTCGCCTCTCCTTGAGAAAAAGCCGCAAGCCCGCCTCAAGCCTTTTAAAACCTTGGCTGTATGGGGTCATCGAAAACACCCACGACCGAGTCACTGTCGGAATTTCACAGGTTGCTACAGGGAAGTCACGCGCTGCCTCTGCTTGTCAGATCTAAGTCGAACTGTCGGGTTTGCTCGAGTGTTGACACCCACGCTAGAAAACGCCGAGGAAACACCAAGAAGATCGTGGCTGTCTCTTATACACATCTGGTGTTAGCATTGATGAGGTCTTTTACGAAGAGA